CATGCTTCACTTCAGTAGAGGTATTTCCATCTCCAGGTTTGGTGCTTATCTGCAAAGTAAGAGTATTGAGCACTGTGTTGATCTCTATAACTCCTGATTATTGAAATGTGAAAAGATTTTCAGAATATTAAAATGACATGAGGAAATAAGCATGTTAAATTTATTATCAAGAAGGTATTAAATAAAAAGGGTCATCTGCAAACAGAGCTCTCAAGGAAAGAAAGCCCATTTTTGCTCTAATTTTCTGGAGTCCTTTCTCTACTGCTCCCATTTGTCCTGTCACAGTTCTTCTCTATGAACAGCAATCACCTTAAAAGGCAGATACACAAATAATCAGTCTACCTATATAGTTATGCAGTGAAGTGCATACACTTTTAACTGGTGATGTTTTGTTTAAACAGGACACACTAGGAGACTAGCCTGATGTATATATCTGTCCATTTACATATGCTAAAAAAGGTGCATCTTTTTTCTGCTTTAATGTTCTTTAGATCTGTTGATTTATCTGAATTTTTCAGTTACAGGAGCAGTGCGTATCTAGTCAAAGACATAAAATTATTGGAAACTTAAAATCAGATTAGGGTACAGTTTATTAATCATGATTCTAAGTAATACATGTATTACTTAGATAAAACCTGTTAAAATAAGCCATTTTTGCCACTATTTAGATAGCAGTCTTACATCTATCTCGTTTAAATAACTTTTCATAAATCTCTCTATTGAATATAATGTCTTTTATAATTGGAAGTGCAAAGAAGAGAAAACAAGTAACAATTTGCTTCAGGCGTTGACATATTCTATAATTATCTTTTGTTTGCTTTCATGTTTATACAAGGCAGGATCGTAATGTTTTCATGGAATCTTCCAGAAACATCTGAACCTCTGAAGTGGAGATACTGTGGTGGAGGGGAATCTTCTTTTCTGAGAGAGAGGGAAAAAAAAAAAAAAAAAGGCAAATACCTATTGACTTTAATGTGCTCTGGTCATGCTCATTGAATGGTCTGGCAAACAAACATCTGCCATAAATATAAGCTTAGTCCATTGTTAGTCACTGGAGCAAATAATTCTGAAACAATGTATTATTTTGTAAGCTTAACTATAAAAGCAGAAGAGAAAACAAATCCCAGCCTTTGCAGAGCTTTGAGAAAAACATAGCCTTGTACAAGCAGTGTGCATCCACAGAAACAATCATAAAATGAACTCCATTCAAACAGAAATGGTTGCAGTAGAGTGAAGTGTCCCTCTGAATGTTACTTTTTCCTCCATTTAAATGCCTCAAGGGTTAAAAGCACGCCACTCACTCTACATGAAATGAACCAGGGCTTTCAAATCTTAGCGATGGCATGCTGCGTCCTTGTTGGTGAGCACCTGAAGTCGTTAGTCTGAGTGACGCCTGACACTAATTATGTTTGTCATTCACTAGATAGCCATGCAAACCCAGAGAATCTGGGTGAATAATAAGCTATTTTAAAGGTTTTTATATAAGGTCTTACACTCAGTTTTTTAAAAGCCCTCGTGTATCTTGAAGAACAACACTTGCTAAAGCTGTTGAGGAGGGGAAATGTGTTTTAAAAGACAAATGATGTTTGAAATGCATCGTTCTTGCTTGAAACTGCCATGAAGAACAGCTTTTATATGTCTTGTAATAACTTGTAAAGCCGAGGAAAGATATTTTGTCTTTGTCATACAACTCATCACGGTGCTGGCACAGAACCTACCTTTTCAGTATATCGTGCTCAAAAATAATTGGCACATAGACATAAAATGAATTTAAGTTATTGAAGTGTCCTCTATCTGCTGATAAGTCTTCAAGAAAATATTGCATGACTGCTGAACCATGGAAAGTTCTGGACTGGGGCCAAGTGTATATTTGTATGATTGACTCTATATTTGTATGGTTGACTCTCTATTTGTTTTCTTCTCTACTTTTTATGGATACCATTTCTTCCATTTGCATGATTGTTTATTGCAGCATCATGTACAATTCAGAAATGGTTTGTATTTTCATTGAAGTGAGGTTTTTTTCCAGAGCAATCTCAGACAATGCCGTGCTGTTGCAAATGAGCTCAGGTCAATATACAGCGAAGTTGTGAGTCACAGGCAGCAATTTTTTCTGTCTTTGAGAAGACATACTTTTCCCCCTTGGTTTCTGGGAGCGGGTTTTTTTATCTGTTTTTTGATCTCACTGCAAGCTGACTGCAGCTGAATATGATACCCTGCCAAACATCATAGTCGTATTGTGCAGTCATGCAGGGGGGCATCTGAAGTGCTTGTCTGGTTCATCCCAAGTGTGTACGTTGGGTTGGGTAAATTTCCTCCAAGTCCTTTTTTTGGATTTGGGCATTTCTTCACCTGTGGGTCCATCGTGGCCCATAGCTGAGTTGTTCGGTCGTATCTCCTCGCTTCTCCTTGGGGTGATGTCGCTTCTCCTAGTGCTATGAACATGCAAATATTCTGCTTTGCTGAAGCCTGAAATATTTTCTGTCACTAAACTAGGTGACGGTAGGTTTGGTTTGGGGACTCTGGGAGAATAGCTAGTGATAAACAGGGAGCAACAATTTAGTGATTATAGGAAAGCTTATGCATAACAAAATATTTCGATACTGAAATAAAGCAATAGAAGCAGGAAATTGACTTTATGAGCTAGCTAATGGTTTCAATATGCATGTGACAGGAATGAATAAAGACAATTATATGACAGTATATAATAAGCATATAATAAGACAGTTATAATACAGGCTTGAGATTTCAACTTTTGCTAATGGATTGCAGTGGATCTAAATGAATTTTTAAAAGATACATTTTTTGTTATTTTTTAAGTTAGTATTTACCAATTCTGTACAGTTCAATATTTTATTCTGTTTCAGTTAAACAATAACTTTACAATGACATAAGGAATTATTAAACATATGTTTAATGAACAATTATTAAACCAGCGTTTTAGATTCAAGGTTTATGTGATAATTTCTGAGCAAAAAAAATGAAACTGAGAATCTACTTCTTGAACATCTGCCCTGGGCTGAGTTGGATTCTATAGAATTCAAAGTAATTAGGATAGTAGAATTAATTATTTAGTATATAAACAGCATATACCTATATACTTTATACTTTACCTGTATACCTTTAGTGTATGCCTGTATATAGGTGCAGTAGCTAAACCCTCTTTCTCTGTATATATACATATATAATGTATATATGTGTGTATGAATATATATGGGGAGAGAGAGGGTTTCGTTGCTATAATTAGAATGGAAGGGTACCTTTTTATTAATTTAGCAAGAATTTGTCTGCATTGTCTGCATGGATTATCAATACTATCTGTAGGCTTTTTGTTATTTTAACATATCTGCCCTTGTATGATTTGCCTTTTCAAAGGCCATAGGCTCATATCAATCTTTTGGTGTTCATGTTTTCTATGCTTCCTCCACTATTTAAAACGTAGTATTTTCATTCAATCAGTTGTGAGGGGAACCTGACAGTGTACACCTGACTAGATTTTTCTGTTCATTACAGAATATTTTGTAATAATATTTATGAAAATGATAAAATGGTTTTACACAATATTTGGCTTATACACTAAAATCACTTGTAGTTTGAGTGCTATATGTACAAACATACATTAAATTTTACTGCTCAATCCAGGATAATATTAGAAGCACTGTAGGCATGTTCTGGATAATGGCTGGGATATAAGAAAATAATTGTGTGGGCTGAGAGTTTTTCTGAAATATCTGTAAGAGAGAAAGTGAAAATTGCGTTTAAGTTATCATGAAGGTTGGCTCATCCCTTTCTTAAGCTTTTATATTTACTTTTAATAATGTTTCTTCATAGTTAATGTATTTATTTTCTACACAGTGGTTGCCTTGATGACATATAGTCCGGCTTTACTTCTGTTCTTAAAAAACAAACAAATGCAATTAAAGAGAGTTGCCCAGAACTTTCGTGTCCCTTTGTTCTGTTTTGGAGGATTTTTGTGGATACTTTTCATTTCTTGTCTGCATCTTCTTCATGCACATCATTCTTTGAAATTGTAACTAGCTCTTTCATCATTCTAAATAACTGAAGTGCTTAAAATCAAATGATTAAAATTTTATATCATGTTTTTCTCTTTCTGGGGGGAATTTCATGCTGTATAGTAACAACTGTATGCTATTCGATCAGATTAAGTGAGGGTTTTCCAGCCTGAGCTTTTGTAAACATAGAAATGCACTAAATAAAATACAATAAAATTCATTTATATTAATCTGGCAATTGCCCAGTTCTTGTCAACTAATTGAGCAGGAAGAGAAATACTGGGAAGTTTTACATTAGAATGTTGGAAATGTGTGACATCTCTGATAATGCAGTATTATTTCTGCAAGCATACAAGAACTACAGGCTTTTGTGTTACACAGAAGATATTTTAGATGCAGCTCAAAGGGATATGCAGTGACTGAAACTAATGAGGTCAGTTGGCGTTGACTGATAGAATTATAAAGGGCTGCCTTTCTAGCAGTTGTAAGTATTCACGCCTAACTGAAATCAAAGGTACATAAAATTGTTGATGTCAAGCAGAACTGATTTTTCTTCAGTTTCTCCTGTGACAGGTGAAGAGCTGGTGTTCTGCTCACACGCACTTACCTTTCCCTTTAAATGAATAACTAGATTAGGTGCAGGTTGGGTGTATTATACATGATTATTGGTTACCCAAATGTATTAAGTCCTATTTTGATGGACTCTCTAATGAGGAGCCCGTTATTTTTAGTACCTAATGATTCTACTTTTTGGCAGAAAGGTAAAGTATTATTTCAAAGGTCATTCTACTACTGCTGAGGGTCAATGATTTGCCATGAGACAAATACGCGTTGAGGTGATTGCATCTGGCTTTTGGGGCTGCTTTTTACTCCTTGCAGTGCCATCAACAGGGCAGCGCAGCAGCCTCTCCAGCCTCCCTTGCAGTGGTCATCTTGAGAGCTTGCTGCACCTGCCTCTCTGTAATGCTGTTTCTCTCTCTTTTCCAGTTTGAGGGCTGCAAGAAGGCCTTTTCCAGACTGGAAAACCTCAAGATTCACTTGAGGAGCCACACGGGCGAAAAGCCCTACCTCTGCCAGCACCCCGGCTGCCAGAAGGCCTTCAGCAACTCCAGCGACCGGGCAAAGCACCAGCGGACCCACCTGGACACGGTGAGCAGCCGAGGTCGTCTTTAGGGACCCTGAGTCACTACACAAGACTAAGCTATGAAATAACCCGTTTCAGCAAACAGTTAGACCTAGAAATCATTTAATACTCTATTGAGTACCTACAAGTCTTCAGAGAAGACGAGCAGGTCAGAGCAGTTAAAAAAGATTTATGAACTCTGGCAAATTAGACTTTTTAATGTAAGATATTATAGGTTATATTATAGGTTTCTTCCTAAAAAGGCATACATGTTTTTGGAAAATACAAGCTGGAAAAGACTGTTTACTTCAGATAGATCATTTTGTGCAATACTTTTGGTACTTCAGCATTTGATGATTGCTTACTTGCTTGGTTTTTGCTTGCTTTCTCTGTAATGTAGTAAACTAATGTTTTTCTTGATCTCTTTCTCTGAAGCAGATATCCTCTATGATGCCTTCACTGCAGTTTCTCCAGGCCTTTCTGCAATTTCTTTACCCAATTCACTAAAAGAAAGTATTTTCTGATTAAATCAAAGATTGCTCTGAGGATAGAAGAATTGTAATTATAACCAGCAATATTTGTTATACTGATTTAAAAAAAAATGCCATAATGGCAATTTTTAAAAGGTTTAAAAACTTTCAGAAAGATTTCCTTTGGTTTCTCTTCCTTTTCAAACTTACATTTACCTTTCTTCTTTACCTTTATGATAAATTACTGGACATTCTGTTTGTAGTAATAAAGAGCATGAATTTCCTTTTAGTAATGTCCTGCAGCATCCCAACACTCAAAGGGTTTTTTGAAGAAGCTAAAATGATCTGTGATTTAACAGGCATTACTATCCTTTAACAGTGTCATTATCCTTTTCCTTCTTGGCTTAGAAACCCTATGCATGTCAGATTCCAGGATGTACTAAACGATACACGGACCCAAGCTCTCTGAGAAAGCATGTGAAAGCACATTCTTCCAAAGACCAACAAGCCAGGAAAAAGGTAAATTTTCTAGTACGTTGGTCCGCATAAAAATTACACAGGGAAGCCAATGTTCTAATATTAGCTGCATCAATGCATCTTAAGTACCTGCTGATTTCCAAACTGCTTGATTAGACAAACAGCTAATGGAAAATAATAGGTCTGGTTTTCATATAGATTATGATTTTATCTTTGATGTAATGAGGCTGATTGCTTTAATGCTGTATATTTAGAGATCTGTTGATTAATCACTCAACTTATGTAATGAAACAAATTAAAAATTTTAAAATTAAAAAAAAATGCCCCTTGTTAAATGCCTGGTGATGCAACCTCCAGTGAATGCATCTCACCTCAGTTAGAAAGATAGATTTTGAGAACAGATGGACTGTGACAGATGGACAGTATGTAGTATTAATCTGTAGTGTACAATTAATTATATTTTCATATGCCAGACACTTCCAAATATCAAGACATTTCAAATTGCTGAGTCTCTGTGGTGTCCATGAGTCAACAGTTGTCAATATATATAAACATATCTTTGAAAAGCTGAGTTTTTTATCTAGTGAAATAACTGTGGGGTTTTTTTCCTGAGTATTTTTCATCATATCACACATTAATCACTGACACTGCTGCATTAGACTGTTTAGTCTGCTGAGAATAAAAATCTAAACTTCTATGTTATAGGAAGTTAGTATTGATAAAAGGGGAACCTGCATGCGCTAGTGTAGGGATAAAATAACTCTCAGGAAGCATCTCTGATTGCAGCAGATTACAATACTATGTGGGGTTTCCCTTCTCACATTTACATTTATTTTGTGTTTTTCTGTTGTTGCTCTTCTCCACTCCTCCTGAACAGTTTAAAACTGACTGTTTTAATCCTTAGTTCACTATCTGTGTCTGCATTTGGGCTTAAAACTGGTTATTTTGGCATCCTTTCTGTTTGATAAGGATTTATTTATGCCATTGGTCACCTGAGATATGCTTATGTATGTAAGGGGGAATAATCAAGCCTGCAGAAAAACAAAAGACAAAATGTGGCATCACTCAAGCCAGATCTTTAAAAGACAGACCAAGTTTACCATGTATAATTTTACAAGGCTCAGCGTAGTTACTGGACCTTTGAGAACTTAAAATTGCTAACTCATATTGTGCTTTGGCATTGGAAATATTTCCTGGCAGTGATAATATTAAAAAACAAGAAACAATAAACCTTTTAAGGCAGAATTAAGATTATTTGTGACTTTAATTAAAAATGAAAATTGGCTTAATATCAAAAAAATCTTTACAAAAATGAGAATTCATCAAAAACAACCATAAAAATTCCAAGGTGATAAAGGCACAGTGGAGTAATGGTTCCAGCCGCAGGGAACTGTTTTGTTGAAAAGCATGAAACCCTTTGCTGTCACACCCTGTTAGTCATGGATTCATTTAATATATTGTGACTGACTGCTTTTAATCGTCCTTTTAACCTCCTCCTACACCCTATGTGACATTACTTTGGTGTCCTAAGTTGCTGGCTCTCCAAGTCGGTGTGTACAAATGTACTTTTGATGCTGCATAGTGTTAAAGTAGCAAGCAGAGTTAAGTATATTCATAGTAGTAGAGTCAGCTACTAATTAAACTAAAATCTGGCTACCCCAAGTCTTCAGCCCAGGTTTTTGAGATATGTCTTCAAAACTTTGATCCTCTCTTTGTCCCCTTAAGGTGGGGCTAAGGTATGAAGCGATGAGAAATAACATAGACAAATTTGCTATCTCTGAATTCTTGTAACCAGCTTTTATTCATATATTCTTATGACTCACTATATAGGTCAAAAATGTCTGTGTGTGCACTCCATGTAAGGCAGCTTCTTTACGCCTCCACCCTCCAAATACAGTTAACTGGGAATTTCTCCAGGTAATGGGATGAAGTCCTAGATTCCAAGAAGTCCCTGGAACAAACACATTGAATGAATGTAGCTTAGCAGGTGGTACAGGCAACTTTGATTTACTTTGTAAAGGCAAGCAAAATGGTGAAAGGGGCCATGCCTGCTTTAGTCATTTCTATATGATTTCCAGAAATTGTCTTCATGTATAAATAGATATACAAATGCCATGCAAAATCTTGGAAACAGAAGTTTAAAATGTTTGGTAAAGTATTTGAAATATAAACCTTATGCATCATAATTACTTTTAAAATAATTTTGTGGGATAAAAAGCAGTACTTCCTCCTTTATTTTAAGAAGTAAGAAATTGCTGATTGTGCTGGGAGTTCATCTTTCCTTGGAGAAGATGAATGGAGCAAATGAGCAGGTCAGTCAGTGACAGAAAAACTTGATAAAACCTACAACGAGAGCATCAGCTAGCCCTGAGAGCAACAGTAGTGCCCAACATGCCCCTGCACTATAATTAGTTTTAAAACTTGTCCTCTCCTCGGTTATCCCTTCGTTTCAGCTTTGAAAGGCCAGAAAACTAATATGTTGTTTTGTGAACTGAGAATTTACCATGTGGTACTTGTTTCCACCATCTATAATAGAAATTAAGAGCCATGTGAGTTTCAAGGAGAACAGGATATTTTCACACTGAGAGTGTTCATGTCCCTATAAGATTAAAAAAATAAACAAGAACTGCAAGGGGTATCAGTGCTCATTCACTTCCAAACCAAATGGATCAGAGAATAGCTTGGTTGTTGCGTACTGATCATTTTCAGTTTCTCAAACTTTCTTCTTCTGAAAACGCCAACCACCAGTGGGACGCAGTCTACGTAACTTAAAAGAGTGTGGAGGGTGCATGGCCTGATATAGAAGAATTACCTACTTCTGAATTATTTAATCTTCAGGCTGACTATGCTTGATTTATATTTTGCCCTGCTTTTTCTTCTTCCCCGATTCTGTTTTTATAATGCTTTTCTCTTTCCATTTCCTTTCTTATTCTGCCTTCCACCCTTGTAGCTCTGATTCTTTAGGAAATGCAGCCCAAAATGAACATCAGTAGGTCACTGAGGTACGTATTCTGTGGTAAGACCACTCCAATCCTTTCTGTCAGTCCCATATTCTCCTATACCCTCTGATCTTTCTTCTGTTTTCTTCCTTCGTTCCTTCTATGTACAAAATTTATCTGAATTGTCTATTTTAAAAGCGTATTGGTACATATTGGAAAAGTCCATTTGAATGTTTTATGTATTGTGTATTTGCTAATCCTTGTCTAGCTTAGACCTAATATTAATTAAGGATCTCAAAAAAACATTTCCCACTTTCCCTAGGTAATCAATAATTACCTAACAGGTTTTACTGTCTTCAGTGCATTTTCAGGGCATCCCAGGATCCAGAACGAGTAGGTTTAGCCCTTTCATAACCTCTTTCCAAAATTAAGAAAACTCATTTTTTTAACTGCGTACCTTTCTGAAGCAGAGTGACTATAATAGCCTAACTGATTGGTCCCCAGGCTCAGTGGTAAAAGAGCAAGACTTTTGAAAAGAAAGACATGGAAGGGTAATTCATGAGTTGAAATTCCTATTTCTTTTTTTTTTTTTTTTTTATCCTGAGAAATATACACTGGTATTTGGCATGGAGAATCAGATAAAACAGGATGAATGAGGGAGGATATTTGTTTCAGTAAATGTTCATCATATTCATTCCTCTTACAAAATACTATTTTTTTGCCTTAATAAAATATCAGATTGGTAGTTTTTATTTTAGTTGGAATCTAAATATTGTATAGTACTATAGTACTAGCTGTAGCTAGTAACTGTAGCTGTATGATAGAAATAACTTCTAAGTTGAGGTAAATCTTGTGTGTTTTCTAGATCCTACAGTTCATATACATGGAAGAGCTTTAATAAGGAAAGTTACACTTAGGGGTTGAGCTCTGTTATCTTCCACAATAGTGAGTAATTTTATTCCGTGAGTCATTCTGTGGAGTTGCTGATTGGGCAAAAGTAATGTGTACTCGATGCAAGTAAACGTAATTTTAAGTTGGGTGCACTCTATGTATTTTCAGTGAATGACAGTGGAAAATTTCTTTCATCTGCAGATGGGTAATGCTGAGTCTGAGCATAAAAACATGTGATTCTTTTAGTAAATCTTTTTGTTGAAGTTTGTGAAAATCAAGTTATAAAACAGAATCATTAAGGAAACACACAGCCTTACCGTTATCTATACGGTGATCTAAAACCAGCTTAGAAATTGAATATTACTATTATGCTCCCCATGAATATGAATTTGCTGTTGTGAAAATTAAGGCTCAGTCTTGTACAAGCATAGAAGCTTTACTTTTTTCTACATGTGTGCCTTGGAAAATATCTGCTACAAGGTATTAAGTAACATACAAGTTCAACTGCAAATAAAATAGACCCTCCACTGGCTTTGTGTGTCTCCTGTCATGAACATATGCAACATTTAATGCCTCTTTCTAAATTTTGTCCTTTAAAAAAAAAAAAAAATCCATCAATCCAGTGGCAAAAGCCTTGCACGGCCTTGTGCTTCCAGCTTGGTGCATATCTGCCTCATAATCTTCCTTTTTGGCACACACTGGTCAACTGTAAAATGATGACAGAACACTGGGTTTTGGAACAAAAGCTACTCTCCCCACAAAAAAGACTCTCCATCAGTGTTCTTATTAGACCTGTGTGGAAGAAGATCTTTTTCAGGTTTTGTGCCATCATGTTTTTGAAAGCAAATAGGGATTTTTTTTACTATACTTCTAACAAAAACATCAGCAAAGTCTAAGATGAAGAATTGCCCTCAATCACATCCACTCCTACTGTGGGTTGTGGCAGAGGCTTGTAGGGTGGATTAGTCTGTAGTAGCTGAGGAGCATCTTGGAAGCAGAGAAATAAAGACATGAGGCATCCAGCTAAGGCAACTGGCATGACTCTTTTGAGTAGCAAGTGCTGACCCCAAGCAAGTGTCCCATCAGAAATAGATATCCTGGACATAGACATCCTTGTATGGCTTGTTACAATCCTGCAGATGTTGCTTTTCTGCCACCATGCATCCCCAGAATTGGAAAAAAAAAGGAGAGAGACAAAATCTCCAGCTTCAC